TCCTACCAATATCTTTGGACTTTTGCCATATATACATATTGATGATATGCATAAATGGTGCCGATAATGTTGATTGACGTTGATGGCAAGAAAAGTTTATCATTGTTCCACCTACTAAATGACTTGCAGAGGGATTTTTAAAATTTATTCAAGATTGCAGTTAACGTACGTTGCAGTTAAAGTAAGAATTAAACTATCGAATCGTGGAATTTCGATTTTTAGCTTTTAAGGTGAAATTAGGAATTGGGCGAAAATCGATAGCATGGAGGGTAAGAAGGTAAAATTATTCAAAATCGATGTTCTAAATCCTGATGAGGGCTGAGATGTAACAATTTCTGCAGGATTACGCTTATAACGGAAAGCCGATTATTAGATCTGTCTGATTTTTTCCACTCTTACGATATATTTCTTAATCTTAATGAAAAATGTTCATGAAATCGATCTTTCATTGAATTTCAAATTAATATTAGCTGAAATTCTCAGTAGAAGCTTAACGGAAAGAAGAAAGCTCGATTAAAACAATTCCTTTAATGGCTTTGATCGCACCATGCAAAGTTATACTCTTAAATATAAATTGAAACATTATCCAATCGTTTCCTTATTCACTGTAAGCTATTTTGGCAGACTTCCCACAATATCCCGATTGCCCTTTGAAAGAAACTAAAAAAGCTTGGATCAATTATATCGTCGTGATCATTTACATGCGAATATATCTCGCAGCATGAAAAACGAAATGCTAAATGGCAAAAAGTTGACATCAATGTGATCCAAGCACAAAGATAAAAGTACTGATAGTAAGAAGTGAATAAACTTAGTGCAAGGGAAGACGTTTTGGGTTTATTTTTTTCATGTGCAGTTGAGAGCAAATTAATCCTTTCAGATTAACCGAGCGAACAAGGAGGATTAGTAGGAGTTCTAACGTGGGTTCGCTTTTTTTGCCACTACAGTGACAAAGGTGGCTCGAACTGGAAAGAAAAGCGAATTGCTGCGGTTCTTTGATCGCGAGTCCGGAAGTTTTTTTTTCCATGAGAGCCGAATCCGAGTGATTGAATTCCGGCTTTGTCGTGCTCTATCTGAAATTTCGTGAATGAAATCTAGAGAATTTTCGGGAGTGCTGCAATTCCTCATTGTATTTAATGCTTAGTGGTTCGAGAATCTTGCTGAAAGTTCCAAACTCGCTTTTTAATATTGTACGAAACTTGTTTGCTTGATTGAATTCCGCTGAGAAGGAGGTGAATTTATTAACGCATTTTAGGGTTTTGAGATTCCAAATTGAAATTGTTGAAGTTTTCAATGGTACAAGTTTTCATTGCACGTTGAAGCTGCGAAATTCTCCGAAAGATAATTCTAGTTTAGTTTGTCATCACAAATCATCTATGTTTTCTGTGACGACGCTTGATTTTTCGTGATCAATAAAACATCTCTTATTTAATACCAATGAAACATGTTTTCAAAAGTTCAAGCACAGTTTTAGAACTTTAAATAGTAAGAGACGATTGTAACTTTTCCACATGCATAATGAAAAGTCCATCTAGTTCGGACTGAGTAAATCCTTTCTTACAATAAAAAGATCTTTTATTGTGAAGTAGAAACGAATGAAACGCATATGCACATCCAAGGTGACAAATCGGTTAGCACCGTTACTGTTAAATTGTTTCTCTCTCACGGTATTTCGGAAATATTTTCTAGAGCCTCATTAAAGTCTCAAGTTGTGAATTCCTCCTTTTAAAATAATTGTAAGTATCGTGTATGATGTATAGAGCATATGTCGAATTACTGTTATCCATGGCTATAGTTATAATTAAAGTGTAGTTTATTTATATCGCTTATGTGCGGTTTATTTTATCTTTTCATTTCGGTCAATGCGTCGTTGAAGCTGACTTTGTTTGTTGTTGACTTTTACAAATCGCCATCGTAGGCTTTAATCCACAAAGTCAAGCGCGGATAGAATTGCAAGTTAGCATCACATTAAGAACTTGCTTAAATAGTTTGAGTGTTCATTTCACGAGAGCTCGTGCTGGGCTGGCTGTTTATAAATTCCAACTAGTCGCTCGTTGGGGATCGAGGGTGTAACTCTGCTAATCCATGTAGTTCTTGTAAATACGGTTTGCGAGGCCGACAGGAGAAACGTGACAATCGTTGTTTTCTTTTGCGCGTTAATTCTATTGTCCTATGCCGGACGTTGCGTTAATCAGATTGATGATTCGTCAGCAAAACTATAACTATTGATAAGTGTTCCTTGTCTCTCCACTTGATGATTCTCGGCAAAAATACTTCGACTATTAGTCACAGGTTATGGAACTACAGCGGTTAATTAGGCGCAGGCCGTTATCGACTCGTGTACGTGACGTTACCTAATAAACAATCCACTTGTGCTCACACTATCTTCACCTCGCTTGCGGAACTCCGGTGGGATTATGTGATGCACGCCAGGAATCGCCTATATGCGTTCCATCATGGCTGACTTTCGTATTCAAATTTTGGAGGACACTAATTTATTGCAGCTTTTAGCATTGTTGCTGTGCTTCATTAATCTATCGTATGAAAAGCTCCTGATCTTGATATGTTTCATCGAGCACAAGGAAATTAAAAAGTTGAGCAATTAAATGGAAACTCGGATATTCACAAAGCATTATCGAACTTAATAGTTACTCTGTAAAAAATAAAGTAATCAGTGGTATTAACTATCTTGAAAGAAAAAAGAATTTTTTGATGAAACTTGTTTTAACTGATATTCGATTCATCGGTCACCGAATTGGAAAGCCCAAAAAAAGTAGCAGAATTATCATTTGTTCACAACTCATCAACTGTTTAATGAGATTAGCGCTTAATCCTGCTGACATGCGCAGGACAGCCCCGTGGTAATTAGGTGAAATCGAAAACTTGCCAATAAATCATTTAAGTAGAAAGGCGATAGTACCGGGCAAAACGAATTGACGGAGTCGAAGAGCGATCGTGAATGAAGGTCAAAATCGTGTTATGTTTTATTTTCCTCCTTAAATTTTCGCTTAGTTAATGAAATAAATGACATCGATATATATCCTTACGTTTGTGCAAGAATCTCTCAAGGGGATCACAGCGTTTAATTAACAGCTCCGCAATATTTTCCAAGAAAACAATTGAGTACGCATTTTTCTAATTATCCTTCATATCACGGTAAATACACTGTTTTCCCTCGTAAAAAAAGCTTGTTTACACTTACAGTGCGCTTATCATAAATTTTCGCTTGCGTTAGCACATGAAAAATTCGATTTTCTAAGAGCTTATCCATCTCTCGCGCTATATAAAAATTCTTTCTCAAGTATTACACGCACGCTTGTCGTTATGGATTTTTCTCTTGGCGCGCTTGGGTAATCATGTCGATTACGTCGAAAGATTCCCGGAGGAAGAAATTTTCGTCCGAAGAGAACGGCGAGTATTTGCCAAAAGAAAAGGTACATAAGCAAGAGAATATATTTACATGTCTATAAGAATCTTTCGTGATTGCGGTTGCCGAAACTGCGAGAATTTTTCTTGATTTGCTGCGTTATTTTTGATTGAGATGGCTTAGAGATTTTTTGCGGAGAGAAGTCTTTATTTTAAGATTAATTGCAAGGTCAAAAAGGTAAAGGTGCGGGTAACCGGAAGATTTATAGCAAATGTTTTAGAAACCACAAAGAAATACAAACCCTTATTTATCAGTTGATTTTGTTTGTTCAATTGAAAATACTAGTTTTTACATTTGACGATGCCTGCAAATTTTAATTGCTTAAATTTTTTTTTTTTTAACGGAAAGGATTTTCGTTTTTAATCAGAAATTCGCTTATTGAATTACGTGAAAGAAGACTTTTTCAAATAAAGAAAAATATTCTGCATTCTACAAATGTTTTTCAGAATATAACAACATTCAACCATTTTTTCGATATTTTTATTAGTTTAGGTGTTTATTTGTAAAACATTTTAATACCTTATTTTTGACTATAAAAATCGCTTTATGTTGATCTTACAATTAGACTACTTTCTTCGATTCTCGGCCGGTGGTTTCCTTTTGTGTTAATGTAAAATTATCAACCTGAATTGAGAGTGGTTATCTTTGCTTTTACTGAGACTAATCTTATAGCATTTTTTGATGACGTCACTATGAAAAAAAATAAAAAATTCATCTATAGTTTATTCGAACGTAAAATAAAGTCTTGAATAAATTCTCCTGGAAAAACTCGTAAGCTACCTGAATTTATGCTCTAAAACTTTCGTTTTTACTGTTGCGCGTTGACGGATACATTTTTTTCGGTTACAACAAAAATCTTTTAATTAGCTCCTCGATAAATAACTAACGACTCCCCTCAATCCTGCTGTCAAAGCTTGCAACTCGCTGAGCGAGCAAGTATAAGCTTTGTTTCTGCGAAATAGGTCACCTATAGCGTCCCGCTGTATCTTTTATGAGTATTACGTCATCTATCACGAAAGAAAATTTCGTTTGTTCTTTTCCGTTTTTTTCTTCATGACACATTTTGCGACGATAATAACTTTCACTTCGTTCAATACTTTAGAATGTCATTTACCAATTACATAACATGAAATGTATTTATTCCGTATTTTAGTAATTTGTATACAAAGTTTCATCTTCCTTGCGCTGCAGATCAAATTTATTCGCCAAAATATTTTATTTTATACTTACGAAAATATTTAATGAAAAAAAACTAACGAAAAAACGAAAATTGGAGCTGCATGTAAAATTCAATTTTACTGCATACTACAACTGCGGAAAGTAAAACGATTATGTACGATCATAGAGAATAAGCACAATTCTTATACAAAATATCGGTTATTTTCCAGCGCTCCAATTTCTTTAAATCAAAAATTTTCGTAATTTCTATAAATCAAAAAACGTGAGACTGATCCGGTTCGATTGAAGTAAGTTAATATAAGTATGTATTAGTAGGTAGAACACAAGGGAAATCTTTGTATCCCCGGTTGGATTTCGTAGGCAATGATTGAACGATTGAAGAAAAAAAACTCACCAGCGACCCTCGCTTCTTTGCACGCTTCGTACATGTCGGCTTTCACATCCAAATTATCATCTGCAATTGTTTCGGCTACGGTGACAAACCTCTCGACAGCAAGGTTTACACCCTGACCTACCCGCGCCAACATTCCCGGATTTCTTTCGCATCGAAACGGCCTGTCTCTGTGCGACACCAACTTCGAGATCTGTAAGAAAGGGAAATATTGAGTTAGTCATGTGACTTTTTTTAAATGTTTATTCTACTTTTTGTATACTCCAAAGGCACCATAAGAAATAAAAGTGACACGTTCTTTTAAGTTGATTGAATTTCCAATCGCTTTTTATTACTTGTACGCTTTAAAGTGCCTTTTGAGTTTCTAACGTTGGCGTTGTAACTAAACTAATATTTAGACTAAAAGCTGTTATGTGGGACGATGGATTTTCTTTTCAAATGTTCTCTTTCCAGAGAAACATTGCAACTATTTAGTTCGTTTGCAAGAACAGCTTCAGTTAATAACATTATTTAGATCAATGCAAAAACCCATGCATGTACCAGTGTAACATTAACAAGGTTTCTGAAAAATTTCCATTTAATAATAAATAAATGTTCCTACTACAGAAAAATTCCGAAAAGTAATTGACTTATTTTTTAAATGAGACCGATGACGCTCGACGTGACTCCCAATATCGAAGCAATTGAACTTCTCTCTCGAAATTTTAGAGTTAAAATAATTAATAGTACATTTCAATACTAGTGCGAGAATGCAATGGAGCTTCGCATTTGTGCCAGAGTGAACCGAAGGTGAAGACCCAATCTCATAATTCAACAAAAGCAGGACAATAGTAGATTACGTACCGTTGGAGATATATTCGTAAATCTGTAGCACGTGAGGATTGACAGTAGAGGCGAAGCCAAGGTTGTCAAACATGTGCTATGAGCTTACCAATTTCCTGACCGTATACAATTTTTTTTATCCAGCGGCAAGAAAGTAGCATTTCTCCGCCGCAGCTTGGTCGGTAACATGTTAATTAGCCCCGCTGGGCAAAAAATTGTATACGCACCACGACCAGGAAATTGGCAAGCCCATAGCATGTGTTTGCCTTGGTTGTTCTCGCGTGCTATGAACTTACCAATAGTTTACCGGCCAGAATATACATAATCTAGTATTTAAAGAGTCTATTCACAACCTTTCGTTTCCACTAATAAACACTACTATTACAGTTCTCTTTGTCATTGCTTTCTATTACACTTGTGTTGCAATTCATTCGGTTAGTAGAGTCTCACGTTACGCGTCGATTACTATGGTTGTTGGTAAGTGATATAAGAAAGTTAATGATATTAATGAAAGGAGTCAGGTGGAAGCTTTTGCTTCTGGATATAAATCAAACGCTATTTCGGTGGGTGGAAACGATTGATCGTTTCGAAGAGTTTTACAAAAGTTGTGTGTGTGTGTGTGTGTGTGTTTGCGCGCGCGTGCTTTCGATCTTGTAGTAAGTTCACGAGCAGTTTTACGCTGAATTTTCATGTTGAATCGTAAAATTTACGTTGTTGTTCTGCTCGTCGACATTGATCGATGAATTTTCATACTATACACAAAGTAAAATGAACACGGTGCATTTTTTATTTTCAAATGTTCGTTGTCCAGTTTCTTAACTTGCTAATAACGAGCAGTCGCCGCAAAATTGCTCCGAAGCAATTGGTAGCAAAGAAAAGAGCCGCGAGCCAACTGGAAATTTCGTGCCCTCGAAGACGGAAAATCGGGTTAGCTTTACCACAAAGACAAAGTCGTCTAGTGGTCAATAGAAGAGCAAAGAGAACATTTACGAAAGCATATTTTCCTGGATAATTTCAGCGCACGCGAACTTTTAATAAAAGTGAAATGAGCGTGCTGTTAAATTGCAAATGCGAGTGAATCTAGCATGTGTGGTTATACACGAGGCTGATGCTATTCTTTTTAATAGCCAATTGAAGATTTAACACCGCGTTTTGAAACTTTGATTACCTCCCATTATTATTGCATTTTCGTCGCGATTGTGCTACTTTGTTCTTGGGCCGTATTCCTTTATTTTAGTGTGCGACCGTTGCTTTAGGAATATCACGCTTATTTTCTATTAAAAAACTTATTACTTTCTGTTATTTAATCGTAAGTTGGAGCCTAAGTCATACCTACTTCGAATTGTTGTACATTTTTCTTTATATAAGTTAATATATTTTAATCAATTAAGTTTTTTCGTCAATAAAGACGATTCTTTGCTTTTAATGAATGCTACGTCGAAAACGTAATACTCAGAGAGACCGTCGTGAAGATGAGATGTAGTAAACACCCACAGTAGGTATAAGAATTTTTATAGAAATTTGACATTTAAATTGTTTTTAAACACGACGAAAAAATTAATGAACATGACCCCTAACATACATAATTTCAATTTTCACGAAAAAAAGTTTAACCATTTTGAAAAAAGAAACTGTCTCGATAAAAAGCGTCGACTGTCGTTATTTATTTTTTCCGTGCAATTACACAATACGTTTAAGGTAAACGTCATGTCAACTCGGTTGGATTGAAGAAAGAAAAAAAGGTAAACGTACGTCGCTTCTAGAGAGAGAGAGAGAGAGAGAGAGAGAGAGAGAGAGAGGACGGTGACGGCAATTATTTCGTCAAATGAACGCAGTCACGCGGACGATGGAGCATTAATACGTTCGCTCATGCGCCAGCTGCGATGCGATTCTTCTGGAAAATTACGCTTAGCTTACCAAAGGAAACCTTGGAAATGACTATCAGCTCTTGCGTCTGCGTTGTTTTTCGTTCGAAATATAGTTTGATAATTGGTTTCACGCAAGGAAAAATGCTTTCAAAATAATGTATCTGCCAAGTAAGGTATTTTAATAATTTTTGACAAATGATTTTCCGATAAATGGCTCCGAGAGAGAAATAGAGATGTTCGATAATGAAATTGTAATGGATAACTCGCTCGCTCACGATAACGACTCAGAGCTTGGCGAGCACGCGTCATATTGGAAATAAATCGTCTACCGAAGTGAATTCTTCAAATTTCAAATTTGATAGCTTAATTATGATACACATACGAAACAGCGTGGCGAATGTGTGCGAAATCTACGATTGATTGATTTTCCCTCTCGCGCGTATCATAAAGTTACGTGCTACGCGGATGCTCCAAGCAATATTATGTTGCACGCTGTTATAACTACCATAAATTCGTGGATTTTAACAGAGCTTGATAATAAGATCACATAAAGCTGCGAGTGTGGATTTGTATATGATTTACTCAACGGCCGTTCAAAAATTATGCTCAAAGTTGCCCAACGCGCGGACTTAACCACGGTGAAGCAGCATTAGCCTATTAAAATGTCGTATACGACGATATTTTCAAGTCGTGTAAGTTTACGCACACCTATACGCGCGCTGATAATTAAATTCCTCCTAATAAAATTAATTTTCATCGTAAAATCGATAATATCGCGCGGGATTCTCTTCCCAGGAATGCCGCAATATATTTTTCACTTGGTAATGCCCGGATTCCAACACTCCATCACTAGCTGAGGGCTGTGGTTCTATATATTTTTTCAAACCAGGAGAGAATCAATTTATTGAAAATTGAAGACTTTGTCGCTTTTCTGCGGCCAGAGGGCAGACGTCGTACTATCACGTTTCTCTTTTTTCTCGATATAACTTGATTTGCGTCGTGGTGACTATTTTTTTCAGAAAAAAGTGACGGAAACTGCTAGTAATTCAAGTTTTTACTTTTTAGCCACCTTTTTATCTAATACCTTTTGTCTGTTTCACGCGGAAGACAATGTTCATTATTTTCGATTCAAGTGTTTTATATCATCATTGCATCGCATGGCCAGCCACAAAGGTAACGATCATTTTTAAGCTTACCTTGTCATTTCGAATTTTTTTTGGTCTGATTCTATTCTTTGATTTCCAAACTGACGTTCAAGGTCTCAATACATCTAATCTACGAATCTTCATCTCGAAACTTTTTGGTCTCGCAAGTTCATTCTTGGGTGCGCGGAAGTTTGAAGATGAGGGCAAAGATGAGGCTCGATCATGATGCGAGCGGAAAGTCTTTAAGCTAATGACGACGAGATATACCGAGTAAAGGTGAACTTGGCACACTGGAGAGATGAAAAGTCGAATACAAGAATCTCTGTGCATTCATCAAAGACCGCGTGAGCTAGTTTGGAGCTTAGATACATAACGGGTTGTGTATTGGATATAAATACAGAAACTTTCCCTTTGTTCCGTCAATATTTTAGGACTGTTTGAGAGTTTGTTGTTGTATCTATTTAAGTGCAAGTTTTTTACGCGAAAAATATGTTGAAACGCAGATAAATCGCAATAAATATCAGATTAATATGTGAGTCAAGATCTGCACTTGTTATTACCACAACGTCTACGCGGACACAATTCTCACCTACCCCTCTTTTTATCTCGAGATTCATATAAATGTGACTTGCTCAAATGTACAACACAAGGAAGGAACATACACATGGACGAAAGGGAAAGTCGAAGAAAATAATTAGGGCCGTGAAAAAATGTTTCCTCCTTCGTGAAAGTACGGCTAGTTAAGTTCAAACAACAACTCTTCTCATTATTGCGGATACCTTGGTATTATCAATAATTTCACACGTGAAATTAGCGGTTGCAATTGTCCTGTGCCGAAGTCAGTTAATGTGTATATCGCGCAATGAACAAAGTGCGCTCGTGAATGCACAAAAGCTGCTCTTTTTAGAGAGAAACTCCTTGGGCTTTCTAAAGTCGAAAAAACTGGGTTGCAACAGCTGCTTTATTTAAATCGTGAAAAATTCAGGCTGTAATGAGGGCGCACCTTTTATTTTCTTTTTTTCTTGCACTTTTAACTCGTGGCTTGCTCCTATTTTCATTTTCTTTTTTTTAACGTAGTGTCCAGTGCCACCCGATAAATTATTTTTATGCGATCTTTCGCAGCTGCGGTAAAATTATATAAAAATGCATACAGCGAAACATATAACATGAAAAAAAAACGCTGCCAACTCATCGGCAGTTAGATTCCCCGTTAACATATTTAATTTCTAATTTTTTTTATTTTCATGAATATTTTTTTACATTCATACTCTATTTATGAATTTTATTTCAAATAATTTATTTATTTAATTTATTTCATATCACTTTTTTACGTAGATTTTTATCGGTATTATTCTTTA